CTGTCTACTTAGGCGGTTTGATATACTATCGCCAATTGTTTTCTGGTTCAAGTTGGCGTCCAAAGCTCCCAAAAACTACGCAATGTGACACATCAACATATTTTGAAGAAGTGTACTATAAAGGATTATTATCACCTAATACTTAAAATCTATAAAAACGAAGATCCCGAATGAAATGAAGACATCGCTTAAAAGGCAAGCATTCATGCCAAAGATCATAATAAAAAGAACACAAATAGCTACGTAGCGTTGCCAACATGTGGGGATTTCCCCAAATTTTGGGAATTTAAAGTTGCTTGGGGATTGGTATTATGCGAGTAAAATGAATTTGAAAATCGATAGCCCGGGCCAAGTCAGAACCTTTCTTCAAGAAATCTAAATACTTATCTTAAGCTTACTTATCTTTTTGCTAGGTTACTTATGAATATAGAAGGACTCACTTTTTTAATTATCTTTATTGCACACACACACATTTAATTTTCGGCAACTTTTGTGTATTATTTAATGCTTTTCATTTCTTTGTTTTTTTTTTTTAATTTTAAAGCAGAGAACCGCATGCATAGAAATGCAGATATTGTGGTACTTTTTAATGGCAACAAGGGAAGGAATTAAAAATAATCCATGGAGAAAAATGCTTGTTACAAAAATATGAAGTGTGAAAAAAAATTTGGGTAAAAATGAAAAAAATATGTTACTTAAAAAATAAATTGTATAAAATTAGTTGAAAATTGTTTCATTTCTTAAAATAAAATTGAGGGGAATTTGTTGGGAATCTGTTGAAGTTTTGTCCCTAAATTGGGGAATTTTACATGGATTTTCGGGCATATTTCACAAATTGGTGTTGACAACGCTGTTAGCTGCGCTTATCTACGGCTACGCTACACAACATTAGCTTGCTACATATTTATATTCGTGTAGAATCTACTAATTAGTCTGTGATATTTATTTATCTATTCTATGTAGTCTTGGGCATAGTCGGTCCACATTAGGAGCGCTCAATTTACTTCGTAGTCCTATAGCAGTTCGCTCATTTAGTTCGTTAGTTGTTTTTTTTATTTTTCAGTAGATCTAATTAAAAAAGATGAGTTTATTGAATGTCAGTAAATAAAAATTAATTGAATTTACTTAAAAAAAATATTAATGATTTAATACGTATGCAATATACTACATAATATATAATATATGCAAGATACTTATCAAGAACTATTTGATGATATGGAAATCAAAATAAAATATAAAAAAGAAAGTAAACATGCTTTTATATTTTTGAAATGTATTGAATTAATGAAAATAACACAACTGCAATTTATAGGTTACATGTCGCTAATTAATGTAACATATACATGCATTAAATGCAATGATAAACACAAAAAGTTGATAAAACCAAATTTCTCGTGTTGAAGTCAAAACTCTTTGGGGTGCACCCAAAGACATTTAACAAATTTGGTTTTAGTAAATTTTTGAGCTTATCATTGCATTTTAACGATGGTGCAATTATATTCAAGCAAGGTGCATTTTTTTTCCATTATCTATTTATATATGTAATATTATATATTTATATATGTAATATCGACTTTATAAGGTGAACGATCCTTAACTATTTTTTATTTCTATACTTAATCTTAGTTTAAATAATTAATATTTTTGAGATGTGCTATTTAAAATACTTCTGCCAGTATTTTTTATGTATATTCTCTAAATTCATAGGCTTTGGTGCGTTGACTGTACCGGCAGTTTTTCAAGGTACGAGTGCTAGCGCCTTTCGCTATATGTGTATTAGTATTGCCAGGTCCAATGGGCCAAATATCGGGACAGAAGATAAATATAATCGAGAATTTGGTTTATAAATCTAATGAAATAAAAATAAAAAATTGTTTTTTTTTGTAGCCATTTGGCCACCATGAGTTATGATAAGATAAGCCTTTTACTTTCTGTCGTTTACATATTTACTGGCAATTTTAAATTTGGAACTGTTCAATATTCAAATTTGTTTAAATTCAGAATCCCAAAACAATTGAAAGTATGAGGATTAATGCTATTGTTTAGTCACAGAGTCGTTTTGAATCTGTCAGATCACGTATGAAAATGAATCTTACTAAAGAAAATATCCGTGCAATAATTTTCTACAACTTTCGAAGAGGTCTAACACGACTTCAGTGTTTCAAACAGCTAACTTCTGTGTTCCATAATGAAGCCCCATGTTTAAGAACAGTCGAACGCTGCTGTAACATCTGTAACATCGTTGCTGTGAGAAAACTGATTCTCGAAGATTGTCATGTGACATATCGAGAGATAGAGGCATTATTAGGTATCTCAGGGACAACCACTCAAAAGATCTTGCATGAAGCGCTTGGTGTGAGAAAGCTAATTTGCCGTTGGATCCCACATTTGCTTTTAGACTATCATAAGACGACCCGCGTCAGATGGTGTAGAAAAACTCTTCAAAGGTTTAACCGAGGAGACTCAAATCACGTCTACGACATCATAAGTGGTGACGAATCTTGGATCTATACCTACAATCCCGATTCTAAAAAACAATCCACAAATGTGGGTCTTCCAAGACGAGCCCAAGCCGACTAGTGGTTCGCTCTCGAAGCACTTCAACGAAAATGGTGGCCACGTTTATTGCGAAAAGCGGCCATGTTGCAACGATAGTACTTGAAGATCGTAGAACAGTTAATGCAGAGTGGTATATCACAGTTTGTTTACCACAAGTCATCGCTGTACTTCGGAAATCTAACTCAAAGTGACGCATCATCCTACACTATGACAACGCAAGCTCACACAGCGCTAGTCAAACGATTGAGTATTTGAAGCAGGAAAAAGTAGAAATTCTTGACCATCCTTCATACAGTCCTAACCTAAGCCCTAACGATTTCTTTACATATCCTAAAATTTAAAAAAATCTTCGATCTGATCACCCCCACTTTGGAGTGGAATAAATGTTTTAATAACTTGTTCGAGCGAATGGAAAAGTGTATTAAACTACGTAGTAAATACTTTGAAAAACAATAAAAAGTACTATAAGGTTCGTTGACCAAAAAATACAACTAGTATTTTTTGTGGTCAAACAACAAAACTTAAAAGGCATGCCTCGTAGTTTTTTGACACAATTCGTAATTTGCTTTCTAATTATTTTTTTTCTCTGAAATGACCAACGAATAATTTATCGTCCATGCATCGGAAACAATTCGTCTATGTGAGTTTTGTTTACGTAAATCACAATTTGATGAACGTTTAGTTTCAATTCCAATAAATATTTACGTGATTTTTATATATTAGACTTTTTATATGGTTGTTCGTTATGGCTAGGCATAGTTAAGCGTGGTACATCACTGTCGTATGTGGGCGGTACCCATCCATGACCTATAATAATATCAGTATGAGAGTTTATCTCAAATAAATACGAAACTTCATAGGCGTGAGCTGTCACCCGCACCTTGCTATAACGCAGACTATAGGTGTTCCGCGAATGAGGGCTAATAATCTTCCACACACCAGATGTCGCTAGTTTTGACTGAGGTAAAATTTTTTGTTACACAATGTCAGTTAATTGAGAAATTAGTTTTAAATAATAGTTTATCATTATCTAGAGTATTATATTAATACACAACACAATTCGTCAGCGGTTTGATTTTTAATTTTTTGCACATTATAACTCTTTTTTTTTTAAAAAGTCGTCTTTTAGTTATATTTATAGTTTGGTTTATTCATTTCTAATGTAATTAATATAAAATATAACTGATAATACATAAAGAAACCTTAAAGATTACATTTTCCTAAGAAATTATCATCCCCGCTATGAAATCTGTCAAATATTTTACCTCACTCTAAAGTGGCGCCGCCCTGGTGGCAGAAAAAGTCGTGGATGCCCTCATTACCCAAGACTATTCTATGTAGGGATATCGATTCTTTCCGAAAAAGATCGATTTTTACATCAATTCGAATCGTAAGCAGATGTATCGATTCACAAAAATATCGAAGTCTAAAAGATCGATTCTTAAAAAATCGATTATTTTTCATGTTTGCATTTATAATGTAAATATAAATCCATTATATGAAAAACAAAAAATATACCATAACAAATGATAATGATAAAAACAGTTCTTTTTTAGTTCGGGGAATTCGATAGTAACAATTATTTTTATTACCATATTAGTCAGATAAAGTATGAAAGAAGACTTTTATTTTAAAAATGTATTTATTACATGAAATAGTTAAAGTTCCCAATGCTTCATATCTAAACTTTTTAAAAACAATACTTAGTCTGTCAAGTCTACTGGGATCCAAGCGGTTCCGCTCATCACTTGCGATGTTGCCGGCAATTGAAAAAAGGCGCTCACAAGGAACAGATGATCCCACAATACTCATACACATCATGGCTATTGAGTGAAGGTCGTGATAAATAGAGTTTTTTTATTCTTGCCAGTCCAGTATAGGATCTTACATCAGATGCACAATAACTGCCTGCAATAAATAGTGCTTAAATTCTTCGTTTAAGTCTTGACTTTTCAGTGCAAGTCTATTACTGTGCTATATATACACAAAATATATTAAGTATATAAGTATTAATTTCGCTAATCACAGTATAATATTACGACACAGTTTGCTTATATAAACAAATGAATGACGCAATATCAATCAACAAATAGAAACAGTCATAGACTACAAACGTAACTTTATATTATTAAATGGAGGCAAAGGAAACTAAGCATACAGCCATCTCGCAAGTTTTTGAGTAATTAACCCTTTAACTGGTAACATCGTAATATCACGGATATATTTAACTGATTGTAAATAATTTTATGGTTTTTACCATAAAAAAAATCTAATGACGATTTTAAAGGGTGAAATAGCGATTCACACGATCGATACAGTACTGCATATCGATTTAAAGAATCGATCTTTTGGTCATGAAAAATCGATTCTTCGATCAATGGATCTCAAATCGCATCCCTAATTCTATTGACAACATCAACCACAGAGTACTTTTTTTATATAGGAAATTGACATCAACATTCAACATACATATTATAAACGTAAATAAAATAAAAGGAAGAAGGAAAGGAACCAAAATTACAAAAAGTTAGAAAGAATAAGAATAAAAGCAATGCTATGACAGCTTTTGAAATTGTACGGCGGTATTAGTATGTTTATAATTTTATTATAATATATTCCTGTACTATTTGAATAGGCGTAATATGTAATTCACTGTTTATTTATTCTAGTGAATATAAAATATATTGACATTTTAAGTTTTTAAGCTAGTGGAATGGATAAGCTAACAGTTATATCAGGAACGTTATTTATGGCAGCGGATGTTTTTGCTATAGTTAGCCTTGCTATGCCAGACTGGATTATTACTGATGTAGGAGGTAAGCATACTTAAATAAGCATAAAACAATGTTATTCTATAATGAATTTTAAATTTATGTACAGTATTGATTTATTTATTGCTTAAAACTGCTTTTACGGATTTTATTGTATTTAATTATCTTGTTTTTTCTTTATTGATTCCCGACGTTTCGGGTACTTTACAGCACCCATGGTCACGGGGGACTGAGGTGATTGACGTCTCGATGTCAGAGTTAACCCAGAGTACCTTCAGCTTTTTTAATTATTAATTTTGTTCTGATCTACGCAGAATGAACTTATTGTGTCTTGAAGTCTTGCAGTGGTATGTTTGGGTTTAGTTTTAATTTTATTAAATACAGGATCCCAAGCAGGTGGTAGTACCCAGCCTCCCTCTCTATTGAAATTAGGATGTTTTTTAATTTCTATAGCCTCAAGTACCATCCTTGGCAGAAATTAATGTTCTTTCGTGAGCATTTGTGGTTTATCAAATCTAATGTAATGGCGGGGGCCGTCTAGGATATGTTCACAAACTGCAGACGTCACAAACGTTGGGAATCAATAAAAAAGAAGATAAAGATAATTGAATGCAATAAAATCTCTAAAAGGAGTTTTAATGTGTAGTGTTTGTATAAATATAAGAAATCATTATTTATTGCTGTAAAAATATTATGTAAAAAAATTATCGTGTTAGCAGAATATCTTTTTGAGGAGCATCAACTTTTTTCTATTCTTTTTAAGTTGTATACTTAGTAATTTGTCGTTTATGGGATTCATTCATTAATTCACTACAGCCCTTCACAAGTCCACTGCTGAACATAGACCAAGGAATGCCACAAAGCACAGTTATGAGCCTCCTGCATCCTTACCAGGTCGTCACTTCATCTAGTGGGAGGCTGCCTCACACTTCGCTACCAATACGAGGCTGCCACTTGAGTACCTTTCTTCCTCATCAGTTGTCGGAGCTTCGAGCTATATGATCGGCCCATTGCCACTTCAGCTTACTAATTCATTTGGTTATGTTGGTTACTCTGGTTCTACTGTAGATATTCTCATTTCTAAGTTTATCATGCAGAGAAACGTTAAGCATAGCCCTCTCCATAGTTTGTTGAGTAACCTTGAACTTTCTTGTACGGCCAGCAGTGGAGGGCCATGTCTAAGATCCATATTTTTAGGATATAATTGCATCTTATCTTAGAATACAATAGGATAGAATAATATTTATTGAACATAAATTTTTGATAATCATTTTTACTTTTACCATTGGTTCGGAAAAACCTCTGCTTGCAACAATTTAAAATGTTTGTACATATGAAGATATTAAGTTAATCTTTTATATCAATTTAGGAAGAGCTTAGGACCTTATTAGGTTTTATTATCAACTATATATTAAATAATATTGTAATACTTTTTATACAGTCTCTGCTTAAAAAAATATTTTACTTGTGATAGACACTAAATACTTTTTAGGACTTATGTTATAAACATGTATACCCTGCCCAATGAATTAATAAAATTGTGTAGTCAATTAACAGGTATTACTAGCTTGTATTTGTTCTTAGTGTTAACAGAGTGAATATCCCATTAATATTAAAATATATTTATTAAAAATAATAGCTTTGGAGTGAGAATATTTAGTATTAAAAGCTTATTTACAGGTGACACACGTCTTGGATTAATGTGGTCTTGTATGACACTCTACAATAGACCTCAAGTATGTTTCACTCCAGACTTGCAACCTGAATGGCTATTAGCATTGATTTGTATACTTGTTGGATGTGTTTGTATTACAAGTACTGTCATACTCTTGGCATCAAGTCATTTTGATCGTAATGTTATTCCTTATGCAAGATGGGTTGGTTTTGCAGCAAGTATGTAAAATGAACCTTTTTTAATGTTAATACATTTACGTTTTGTTTTTAATGTAATGAAATTATTTAACTTATACTAATTAAATAAAAACATTACTATTTCAGTGGTTGCATTTTGCCTTGCTGCAGTTATTTTTCCAATGGGATTTCATGTAGATGAAATTGGTGGACAACCATACCAGTTACCAAATAGTCATCAAGTTGGAATATCCTACATACTGTTTGTACTATCACTATGGATAACTGTAATATCAGAGCTATTTGCTGGAAAAGTATGTTTACCACATTTTTAGTTTTTATTTTGTTAATAAACTTTGTGATGTACATAATGTTAATGTTATATGAATAAGTAAAATTTAAAATCATTTTTTAATTTAATTTAAAAGCATAGCTAGTATGTATAGAATCTCAAATTTTAATATTTTTATTATTTTGTATGTTGATGTATAATTATGGCAGTATGTTATTAAAGAACTACTGAAACTTTATCATTATTTTATTACTGTAAAATAACTACCAACTATTATTATTCAAAGTGTAAATATGTGCTTAAATAAAAATTGGTTAAATGCAAAATATAAGATCCAAAAGTCAACAAATAGAAAATGTTTTGAATTAAAAAAAAGCAACAAAATATCTTTTCAATATGACCTCTTGATTGTGACACATTTTTTACTTACTGGAATTAGTATTTTTCTTCCCAAGTTAAGTTAAATTTATTTCAATCTGTGCTGTGATTGATTAATAAATAAGTAACGTATACACTTGAAACTGTGCTGTGATTGATTAATAAACAATTAACGTATTTAACGGAGTATTTTAGTTTTTTTTTCTCGCGGGGTTGGAGTTGGTGAGTTTTTTGGCTGAATGGCCTCAGAAAGGTATGTTTGGCTTTCTAAAAATTACTATCCGGCTTTTAGGGCCAAAAGTCCGGCTTTTTGGAGCGCCGAGGCCGGCTTTTTCTTTTTAGGAGATGGCAACCCTAGTCGCGCTACCCCAATGCGTGTTGGCGAACTTCACATGTCTTATATTGAGTGTCACTTATCAGGACAAAAACTACCCTATCTCTCAAGTTGGACCAAACTGCACAGAGTGCAAAATTTCATTGAAATCAGTTTAGTATTTTAGGAGTTCATCGCGGACTAACAACGTGCCACGTAATTTTATATATAAAGATATATATATATATATATATATATATATATATATATATATATATATATATATATATATATATATATATATATATATATATATATATATATTATATTCTACTAAGCCAGCGCTTATCTACGATCCCACCTGATGGTAAGTGGTGATGTAGCCTAAGATGGTGAAGCGCACTGACTTAACAAAAGCCTATTCACTCTTGCCTTGAAGCTGCTAGGTGGCATTTTGCAGCACCAGCTCATATATGGCAGCAATACTCCATGCACGACCGGACTTGCGCTTTATATAAAATATGTAGCTGTCCCGGCGTGAATATCGCCGCACCTTTGCAAGTACTCCCGGTTTCCTTGCAGCTGCTTTGGCCTTGGGCTCAATGAACCGCCCGAAGTTCAGATTTGAGGAAATTTCAAACCCTAACAATTGAAGGCGGTCGGTATATTCCAGTGATACATTTCGGAAAGAAGGAGCCAAAGTAAGCTGGCTCCTTTTTGCAGTGCAGAGACACGCTTGTGTTTTGGAGGCGTTGAATTTCACAAGATTGGCATTGCCCCAATCGGAGACTGCCTGCAGTGTGAGATTCACACGCTCTACCATAGCTTCTCTTTCGGACTGGATTTGATCCCGACTGACCCGAGGACTTGGTTGGTATCTTTCAGCAACTGTGCCATCATCTGCATACCCATAAATACCGGGCATAAGCACATCATTGATATGCAGCAGGAAGAGAGTTGCGGAGAGAACGGACCCTTGAGGAACACTGGCGTTAGTAGCCATAGGATCGGAGCAGCCATCGACGACGACCCGGAGAGACCGTTCACTCAGAAAGTCCTTTACCCATTCAATTAGACCAGGGGATAAGCCGTACGCTGGAAGCTTAACCAAAAGCATAGTGTGCCAAACTCTGTCAAAGACCTTCGAGACGTCAAGGGAAACAGCAAGTGCTTCCCCACTGTTCTCGAGTGCCTCGCTCTATACGTGTGTGGCATACGCTAGAAGGTCCCCAGCTGACTGATTTCGGCGAAAGCCATATTTACGGTCACTAAGGAAGTCATTCTGTTCTAGGTATGCCATTAAGCGGGCGTTCAATATACGCTTCATAATCTTGCAGAGTATGGAGGTGATTGAAATTAGCCGATAATTGGCAGGGTCGACACGGCTGCCTTTTTTTTTGGAACAAGCTGCACGTTGGCCAGCTTCCAGGATTTTGGCACTATTTCAGTCCTAAATGAGAGGCGGAATAAGCGTGTCAGCACAGGGGACAACTCAGGTGCACAAGCCTTTAGAACTATAGCTGGTCCTACTACTATATGGTACTAATTATATGCTATACCATCTGGTCCACTAGCTTTATTCACATCTAGACACAAGGTTTTAAGAACCTCCTTATTTGTAATACGAACCTCCAACATAGAGGTCCCGCAGTGAGGTAACTTTGGTGGAACGTTCTTGCCACTGTCCACACGTGAATTGTGGGCAAAGAGAGACGCGAACAGGTCCGCTTTCTCTTTAGCCGTATGCGCCAGTGTACCGTCCGGTTTTACCAGCGGAGGCAGTGTAGGACGACAGAAGTTTGTCTCGAACGCTTTGGCAAGAGACCAAAAAGCTCTAGTGCCGGATGGTCTGGCAGAGAGTTTTGCGCCAATATGTTTAATGCGAGCGAGACTAGCTTTTCGTACTGCTTTTTTGTAGGACTAGGCGGTGTGGTTGAAAGTTCTCTTCTTGGAGCTAATATCTGGAGCTTTGCGGTTTCAACCCAGGATAGGTACGCTAAATGCTTACTCTTTTCAGCTTGGGCGCATTCAGCGTTAAACCATGGACGAGCTTTTCTACCGGTGGGAACGCCAGAGAAGAGGATGAAATACTCCATAGCTTGACGCAACACATCCGTTATGGCAACCGCGCAGTTTGACGGATCCTCAGAAGAGGAACAGACCTCCCGCCAAGGATAAGAGGCAAAAAAGTGTTACATCTCATCCCAATCAGCTGATTTATACCGCCACATTCGTCGAACACCTTGGGACTCGTAATCAGGTGGAGAATATGACGATACAGATTTCACCAGACAGTGGTCAGATGTATCCAAAGGAAAGGTAACCTGTACTACATATCTGTCTGGTTCGGTAGTCAGCAAAATGTCCAAGCAATTTACTGTGTGAGCGTCTAGATCGGGTACCCTAGTCGCCACCTTTACTATCTGAGAAAGACCTAGCGTCAAAGCAAAATTCCACGCTTCTCTTCGGATGGTCGGTCTTTTGGTATGGGAACAGCCAGTCTTGGTGTCAAGCGTTAAAGTCCCCTAGAAAGACCAACTGTGCAGTAGTTTACCGATTTAGGGCCACTAAGGTGATCAAATAATCGTATTGTCTCCTGGTCACCGTTGTGCTATCGATAGATACAGGCACAAAGGATTTTATCAATACCTGTATCTACCATCACCCAGATTGTCGACAAAGTGGAATCTTCAAGGTGACAGAGACGCTGGAAGCAGATGTCATTGCGGACGTACATACATACTCCGGCAGGTGAATGGAATTTGTGCTCCAGGGAGAATCCAGGTTAGTCAAGGTACGCCGCATTCAATGGACATCCAATTTGCGTCTCTGTCAAGAAAAGTAGGTGCGGCTTCTCAGTCTCAAGATGGTGATGGACTGCGCTGAGATAAGAGTGTAATCCTCGAATATTAGTGAGGTGCACTTTTAGTGAGAGAACGTGCAACCGCAGTTTAGCACTACTTTTCTTTTTAATGCGCATATTAAGTGTTGAGAGTGAATAACGATGGAGAATGGCAGTTGAACGAGGCGTTGCATTAGCAACCAAACGATACTATCAGAGTTACTGTGCCCATGGGAGCTTGATCTGGAGACTACGGGAACGCCCGAACCCCCCAGAGATCGCCACCGGGTCTTCTCGCCCGGTCGCTAACCGGCACGATGGGGCTACCTTGGGATTTTTCACCAGTTGGCGGGGCAGCCTTTCACGAGTAGCTCGTTAACTAATTGGGTCCCCAACTACCTGCGGTCGGCCAGCGGAACATCGTGCTTAGGATCCCGCTACCCTCCACGACTAAGCACCCGACACAGCAACGACTGACGCTTATAATATATATATCTATATATATATCTAAGATAATATTGTAAGAAATTATTCCACTTCTGATGTTAAAAATTATTCTCGAAAGTATTTAAATAAAATAACACTACTCGGTAACAAACCATGCTTACTATCAGGACCCCAATTACATGATAACACCAAACCAGCATCACTAACTACCCATTTCAATGTAACACAGGGCAGCCTCTCAGAAATACGACCTTCTTTGCCCACACTAGTAGAATACCCCAAAGGGCATAGTAACGACAGTGGGACTCTTAGAATTACAAATTGATACCTCTTAGCCGTCTGTTCGATACTAAAACAAGTGGGAGATTACCATTCTACCTTCATTCGTTCGTCTTTACAGCTTGGTATTGGTAAAACATTGGTGCTGGCGGGGATCGAACCCGGGTTGCTTGCGTACTGTGAAATTTACTAACCATCTGAGCTACCATGGCTCCCATAACTCTTTATCTAATATCTCTTTTTTTATTTGTAAACAAAGTTGCAAAGCTGCTGGGGCCCAAGTGTTGATGGTATGGTGGGTGAAAATGTATCTTGAATCCATATTTGTAAAAAGCAAACATTGCAACTTTGTTCTTGTAAACCAGCACATTGCCTTACAAAGGGAACACTCCCTTGGTCACTTTTCCCTGATATGTTCCCTAATATGAAAGAATTTCTAGTAATTTTTTTTTATAATCTATTTTATTGGAACATCGAATGTCATTACAATGACTCGAAAGCAGCACGTAGACGCGGCTCAGAAGGGAAATCAGTCTGTAGTTCTTCAAGAGAGCGTTGTCGCTTGTCTTGAAGAACAAGACCACCGCACTTCTACTCCACGCCTCCAGTGTAGAGCCACCAAGGAGGACGGAATTAAAGAGCTTCTGAAGGACATCAAGTACCGGTTTTCCACCCGCTTTCAGAAGTTCCGCTGTAATTCCATCTTCGCCTGGGGCCTTGCCGTTTTTAAGGTGCTGGAGAGCCATTCTAATCTCGCTCAGACTGACGTCCGGAATATCATAGGAATAGTAGTAGGGTAATATTTGGGGCTGCTGCATCACTCACATCCGTTCGCGTTCGCCCTAATATTACATTAAGCAGCTCTACATTTCCATTTTTAACTAAGCAGATGTCTTCTCAATTCTGTATCACTTTTTTAACTCACAGCGATTTTCTAATTTTTCATTTTTTTAAACAAAAGTTACAGTTTAAACCTCATAAAAATGGATTTGGCATTTTTATATCTAAAGAAAAAAAAACTAGAATATAGGCTACCCAAAAGCGCCTTAACTAACATTGACATTCTAAAGTATGGAAAAAATATTCCCTATTTTCGAGGTGTCTTTATGAGAGATGAGCTACCAACACACCCTTTTAAAAAAGAATGTGGAGTTATAAATTTAGATATTTCCTCAAATCCGGGATCTCATTGAGTAGCCTATGTAAAATTTAATAATTATGTTGAATATTTCGACAGTTATGGAAATCTTAAACCTCCAATGGAATTGATAAAATATTTAGGTCCTAAAGTCCACTATAATTATGA